TGAACCCTCTTTATAGTCCTTTGCAAGTGCTATTGCTAATTATGATTTAGTCTTTACATAAGCTCATGCCCAACCAATTTCCTTACTTCCCTTGTGCCAGCGCGGCTGTTTGATGGAAATCATCAGCGGCCTAAGTTCCTAAACGCGTCGCCTTTCTCAAAGCCAACTTCAGGGGTGTAGCGATCATCTTCTTTTTCACTTATTGTCAATGTTGGGATGATTAGATAAGCTTTGTACGGCGGTTACCGTTAATACTTCACCTTTAGAATTTTGAATGAGGTGATTTGTCGAAACGTGAGGTCGGCAAAGATTTCACCGACAATCCTGTTGGCTCAGGAAAGGTATAGCAATTGAGGAGTTTCTCAAAAATAGGGTAGAATACTTTCAGATTACTGTTTTTCAGACCTTGTAGTTTTAACTTATTTAGCTGACAGAAAATGACGGCTCAAGGGTCTTATGGTTTTTGGCCTTATCACGTGTAGTTTTCGATTTGATCTTACAAGGGAGGTCTTTCAGGGCAAGGTGCGCTTTTTGGAAACGGTTTAGTACATATTGTAGGGACGCATGTATGGACCACAAAACCATGTTTCGTTTTCGCTGAACGGTTTTAGTAGTACCAAAAAAGTGGTGAATATACCTTGATGGTTCAATCCCCCGCGGCGACTAAATTTTGCAATCAAGGTTGGCGGCCACTTGTTGGCTTCAAAATGGTCCTGACGATGAATTGACATCTGATTTTGATATTTAGCGCGATTTGGCACCAAACCGTAGGCGCCAACCCAAATGCAAAATTTAGTCGCCACGGGGGATCGAACCCTTAACAGTACCTTATGCTTCTTTTTTGGTACTGCTATAACCGTTCAGCGAAAATGAAACATGGTTTTGCGTTCCCTACATGCGTCCCTACAATATGCACAAAACCGTTTTGAAAAAGCGCACCTTGCCCTGAAAGACCTCCTTGTTAGAGCTTTTCGAGCTTATATTTTTGTCTCTGTGTTTTAAACGTTGTCGAAGTTCGACGTTGCGAGTACCCTAAATTGCAACTTTCTTAACGCTTTGTCCGATCGTTATAATACCCTTGCCCTTCGTCGTGGGTTTGGACTTGATTTTGGAGAATATGTCGTATAAC